GCCCCCGCGCCAGTTGCCACGACCACCCCCAGTCCCCAGGCCATCGCCAAGGCCGCCCCGCAGGCCCCCAGCGTGCAGAAAGAATCTGTCTTTGTGCGGCTGGCCAACAGGATTAAGGTGAGCTCTAAAGTCCAATGTGCTCTTGCAAAGCCTCTCGCATTACTGGTTGAAGTTTTTGTGCACTATAAAATGAATTTTAGTTTTACGTATTCTCTTTGAAAATGTCTTCCCTTATTCACTTTTAGTGTCTTCTAAAGACAGCAGATTTCTGAAATGTCTTTGTTCCGGTCTTCCGCAAAGACATTTCTCGCATTTCTTATCAGGTCGACAGCCTAGTCAACTTTTCATATTGCAATTGACTTCTGTGTCAAATGAGTTAGAAGAAGTAGTTTTCCTCAGATGCATAATGCAAATTGCCTAAGCAGTTGATTAACTTACCTACTACAGTGTATCTGTACTTCCTTGCAATCCTAATTGGGTTTTCTCCATTGAAAATATTTATTCACATATTTATATATTATTCACTGTACTCTCTTCTTACACTAACAGACCCTAATTTTTCATTTTCAAGTGGTAATTGTATTCACTTACTTTTAAATTCTCTGTTGTTGAAGGCTTTAGAACGAAATATGTCATTAAGTGGACAGTATCTTGAAGAACTTAGTCGCCGCTACAAGAAACAGGTGGAAGAAATGCAGAAGGCTTTCAACCGCACGCTGCAAGCAGTACATGAAGCTAGTCGTATTGGGGAGGAACGTGAAGCACGACGTCAAGAGGAAATGCAGCAGCTGCAACAGCAGTTGTCTCAACTTTCGGAATCGTTGCAAGGTTTAATTGGAGAACGAGATTCATGGCTCAGTCGGCTAAATGTAAGCTTCGTTTACCCTTTGAAACGTTCTCTTTTATTACATGAATGCATGAATAATTATGTCAAAGAATGTTGTGATTTTTCCCAACTTCAATTTCAATTTTACTCTTTAATAATTTTTTTATCAATTTGATGTAGGTAAAGGAATTCTTTTAAACATTGATAGTAGGTGTCAGTGGAACAATATATTGCTAATACATGTTATTGTAATAGCTTATACTCTTATACTGTTGTATCAACTCTATTTTATGCAATTTTAAATGGGTACTGGACCATTTTCATGATAAAAATTCAGAAACTTTTGCAGTGTTTTCAAAATTGAGAAGTATTTGTTTTTTATACTTCAGAGTATTAATGAAAGTTGTAATCCCAGACTGAAATGTTGGCAAATACATAAGCAAAAATTAAGAACTCTGATTTAATTTAAAAAATGAAAAAGAATTCTCAAATTTATATTAAACGCAAGTTGTTTGTCATGATAAATATACATTAAATGTATTGCTTTTACTACATACAACTTTCTATCTCATTATTTTCATCACAAAGTTTTTGTAAAGTTGCAAAAAAATAGTTTTAAAATAATTATGATATTTCAATTAATGTAGAAGGCTTTGTTGTAACAGTTCAGTATATAAATTTTAATGAGATGATTTCAAATCCGTGATGTTTAAACAATTCTTCTAAAAACAGGTAATAGCACAACACCTCATCCTCATCTGTGTGGAGGTTCTCTTGTTTGTGCTGCTGATGTATTTCTGCCGTCGAATTCCTGACACTGGTAGAACTGGTAATGAAGAAATATCACAGAAGCAAAATCTGGGAACAAGGAGTCGGAAGGGAAGTCGTGCTGCTGTGAAGCGTAGAAGATCGGTAGAAGGTGTCAGTGGTCATGAGTCTCCGCGAACAAGGAATCGAAGGCCCAGCGAGGAAGCCTTGCTTATAGCAGGTGAGGAACTTCAGGAGAGGATCCAGAGACAAATTTGGGGAGAGAAATTCAAAATATTTTGGTTGAATGTGTTATATTATCGATTTTGTAAAATGTCACAGGCTACACTCAGCTCGTGTTGTGATACAATTTTATTTCTTTTAATGATTATATGAAAATATTTTTGCTTGAAAGTTTTGTGACCAGTTAAAATTAATAGTTACTGGGTGTATTTTATGGGGAAAAATTTCCTCATTTCCCTCCCTGTGGATCTGCACCTGGGAACTTTGATACATTATATGTTACTTGCTGAAGGTTTCATGTAAACAAATTCATAGAAATGAAATAATCTGCATTAAATAAACTTCTTTATACCATAAACACATGCCCGATACAGATAGCATGAAATCTACTTAAAATGTCCTATGAAATAATTTGAAACTAAATTTTAAAAAATTTTCAAACATTCTAACAAAATTTCTATTTCCTCTCTCCAGCTGTAGAAATACATTTTGTTTCCAAATTAGTAATATTCATTGTTAAAATTATTTTTGAATGCTGCATTAAAATGACGATAACAACAATAAAAAATATGGCACTAAAATATTTTGTTACTCCTAGGCCAACAATTTTTGTTCTTTTTTCCATTTCCACCTTCTCAATATTAGCTTCTGTGATTGGGGAATGCTGGGGATTAACCCCTCCTGGATAGTTTGATGTTCCCAGCTAGAAATGTATTAATTTCTCTATACGAGGGATACAACTAACACACATTAGAGACCTTGTCTATTATTTTCACTCTTTGAAACATTTAAGAAAATCAAACAAGAAAGCATTGCCAAGAGCACTTTTTGAAAGCAGCATTGTCACTCATCAATTCCTTGATTTGTCTGGTCATGTGATTTTTAAGGTCTCCCTTTGAAGAAAATTGACGACCGTTTCCTTTCACCCTGATGATAGTTACATTTAATGATCTTCAAAATGTGAATCTAGTCTTAAAGTTTGAAAGCCATTGTAAATTCTTGGTCAACAAGCATTTGGAAGTGACACTTACACAGTGAAACCTGTTTAAGCTGGCCACATGATTTAACACCTTAAAATTGGTCTTTTAGAGAGGTCGTCTTCTTAAAGGGAAATATTGCACTATTAAACTGTACTCACTGCCTCTGCTGTGACTACTTTGATAGGGATGTAGGTGGGATTCAAATGAAAGATTTGCTAAATTACTTTTATCAACGGTATTTATTAATTAATATAATTATAAAAGAGAATAGTTTACCGTACTTTAAAATTGTCCTTCAGGTAATGCGTTACTGTCAAAAAGTGGTCTCCTGATATCCAAATCTAGAGGTGTTATTTTGCTTCTGTATAAAATATCTTTAAACTTTTATAAAAGTTATATAGTTTCTCTAAATTTCCTGGAAGATCTCTCCTTTCTTTTTCTGTATGATCATTTTTCAAAAGTTATAAAATATCTGCAATTGTGGCATTTACAACTACAGCTTTGCAATTTTTGGAAGCCATGATGGCCTTCTGAAGATTTGTCTTTTGTATATGAGAGTCTTCTTTCATTCATCAATTGATTATCCTCATCCAGATTATAGATCTTCATTCAAATGCCTGAGAAATGATTTTATTAAAAAAATTTATTTTATTCAATCAAGTTCAACTCAACAACTTCTTTAGTAAATCTATTTTTCTTTCTAAATTATAATCATTAATTTCATGTGTTTGATAGTAGGGATCCTTACAATGTGAACCAAGGCTTGTATTACAAATACAATTGATATTGTCATAAATAATAGTCATAATTTTGATGTCTTCCATTACATATTATTTTTAGTCATTAAATTTGATTTATTATTATTATTATTATTATTATTATTATTATTATCATTATTGTTATTATTATTATTTTCATTATTATTATTACTTTCGTAATTTTAATTGTTTTGACGTCAGTGCTCATTGGAAAAGGAAAGAAAGAAAGAAAGAAAAGAAAAAACTTTTTAGAAAATTAGAGACAATATTTTAATTCAAATGTATTGAATATTCGAATGTGAATATTTATAAGTTCTTTGTGTTATGTCAAACTATGGTTCTCCGAAGGGTCGGGGAGGAGGGCGGTCCACCCCAAGTGACAGTATTTTTGGGGGGAGGGTGACCATTAAAAAATTGAATAGTTCAATTATTTATTTGAAAATTAAATATTTTTTTAAAAGCATGTATTTGTTAATTATTTATACTTCATGTGAGATTATTTATTTGAAAATTATAATTCAATTATTCTGAATTACATATTATATATTTTTAATATATTATAAATAAATGTTGTGTGCAAATACCCTTTGTTCTTGTTGGTGATTTGACCTTGTAAAGCAATACTAATGCTTATTTGTCATTTCAGGATCATATCAAGATCTTCTCATATCTGACCCAGGTGTATCAGAGATAGATGGTCTTAGTACTATCTCAAAAGCTGATGCAAGAAGACGAAGACGCAAGAAGAAAGATCTTCTTTCACGATCAGCTAGTATTAGATTGCCAGTGAAAAGTTCTGAACCGCTAGTTGATATAGGAAAAGAACAAAAAAGTGTTCCAAGTCGACGTGCAAATTCTTTGGAGTTAGGAGTGTGGTGGGCCTCGAGCAATGGTGTAGATACCGCTATAGAAGAAGATGAAAAAGTGGAGAAAGACTCAGAAGTGCTTGTACATCACCAGCAATGTTCATCGGAACAAACATGTTTGGACAGTGGTCATTCACCTGCAATTGAATCTATATCTCCTCATAGCTCAGTCATAGAGACGTCTTCTCAACAGTTAAAAGATAGTCAAAGACAGATAAAATCTAGCAACACAAATACATGTGAGCTACATACAAAATTTAGAAGTGTAAGTGATACTGTTTCTCCGCTGGCTAAGAACAATGGACTTGTTAGATCGAATGCACTAGGTAGCGTAGTCCAACGTCAACTTTCTTCTCCTGTATTCATGCGAACAGCTACTTCTGTTCGAAGTTCACGATTGGGCAGTGTAGAACCAAGTCCTCCAGCCAAATTGAAGTCTGATAATTGGGAGTGGTATAGCACGCACCATGGTTTGGACAAGTCTAGTCAGCCTAACAAGGTCACATGTTCCATATCTTGTCCTGGAAGTGGTTCAGTTGATCCAAACCAAAGGCAGAATGGACACTCAGCTCCAGACAATATCAGGAGAAGTAGCAATGCTAGTAGCAGTGCCAGTAGTGCCAGTAATATTTCAGAAGGAACATCTCATAAAGAGACTAGCAAGAAAGGCCCAAGTAGTTTGAAGAAAATGGTAAAGAAGTTCTTCTGAAACTTGATTTGTACATTAGTGAAAAGCAGTAGATGCAGGCAGTAATAAAACACAAGAATGGTGAACTATCGTTGCATACATTGATAATAAAATTGTGTACTCTTATAAAAAAAACATTTTTGTGAATATTGCCATTCCAGAACATTTACCATTTTAATTTTAATTTATTACTGTGGTTCTGTGTTTTGATGTTCTTTATCTACGTTATGTGATGTATGCCTTATATTTTTCTCATACTATTCTGTATTTCTATCTTTATTTAATTTTTTTACAAACTATATCCTTGAGTCTTATTTTAATGAAAGATTGTTTGAAAAATATTTTCAAAGTTTTATAGGATGATTCTAGATTGGTGTAAATTCAGTAGAGTAGATGAAAAATAGAGCTTACTGCTTGAGGTATCAGATGTTGAATGACAAGTGAATTTGCACTACATATTGAAGAACTTAATTTTGTATAGCATTGTCTCTGCATACTCTCAAATGATTATAGTCATTCCACAACTGATGAACAAATGATAGGAATGCTCCAAGTGTTCTTGAAGATAATTCATACCAGTAATGGTACTAATCTAAGGTGATGAAGTGTTTATGCCAAATACTTATGATAAGACTTTATTCACAAAGGCTGAAGTGCATACTTTTTGTCAGGAAAGAAACTAGGATTTGGTTGTTGCTTTTATTATTGTTTCCTTTCTATTTTTACTTCAGGCTTCTGTTTTTTTACACCTGTTTTGATAATTTAGTCCCAAAAGCGTCATGTTTGTTCGGTCACAATGTTTTCTGGTCCAGTTTCAATGGGGTTGGGCTCAAGACTGTCAAATCAAACCTTTTATTTGTAGAAGAAATGTTATTCTAATTGCAGCTACATAGTTCTACTTCGGTAGGTATGGCCTACAGAAAATGGGAACAGACAACATGTTTTGTTAATGACAAATAATATGTACATAGTGATTTTCATTAGTTCTCTGTCTGAAGTATTGATCTTCATAAACTATCACTCTCTTGTAAAATTACTGTAAAACTCGTTTCTTTGGTTCAGTGTTCCATCAGAATACGTCTGACGCAAGTGTGAATGTTCTTCCATACATGTAAGATGTTACTTTATGTATGTTGTGTGGTATCTGTTCATAAATTAAGCATGAATGTATTTATTTAAGATTGCAGATGGTGAATGTTTACTTGCTGTACTTTCTATGAACAAATTACAAATTAATGAATAATTAATTTCTTATAGTAGGCAAAATTGCAGAGAATGGATAATTAGCCAAAGGCCAACTGCCAAATCCTAAAGAACTTAATGAGTCCATACCAAAATTCTGGAGTATCATTGTACCATCAGAGATAATATTGAGTGTTCAGTGTATGTGTGTGGCATAAAAATTGTGTATTGAATACAAAATAATGGTAATTCACTGAACATTGACATATTCCGCACAACCTTTAAAGTCACGTTGTTGAATTTCACTTGTGATGTCTATCACAATGTTTTGTGAAATGTGTTACAAGCACAGAGGTTTTAAAGAAATTGCTTCATATGAAACAATTCAGCATAAAATTGCAAGATTGTTAATAGGATCTGATGTCAGATTTGCATTCCTTACTGGGCCAATCAGCTGTGCTGATTGTACCCATTGGTAATGTGATGTAGCATCCCTTGTTGCTGTGATAGTCTTGTTGCCATTGGAAAGACTGATTTAGGATTCAGAAATGGAAGTCTTTGACTTCTTATGAATATTCATGTATGCTTGATGTTGGTACAGTAAATTATAAATAATAATGTAAAAATAATAATACATGCTGGAAGTGTAAATTGTTTAATTGTGGTTTCTTTACCCATCTTCCAACCTTGTATTTAAAATTCAGTATCTAGCTGCAAGAGCAAATGCAGGTCATGGAAGTACGACTTTGTATTAATTTTCATGCGGGAAGATAATTTACAAATGTTTGTCAGGTCATAAAAATAAAGAATTTACTTAATAAAATTCACCTGAGCTAAAAATACATCAGTAATTGAACCAACATACTCCAAAGTGGGTGATCCAAAAGAAGATAATTCACCTGAGCTTAAATTGACACACACAACCCAGCCCCCTCTACGGTACAACGGGAGACACGTAGGAAATTTAGACAAGTGTCTACTGGTGTCTACGCGGGAAACGGGCGACGGGGCCATGGAGTCCCTGACCTGTAACCGGCACCAGTCCTCACGGTGCCTCACGGACTCCCAGGCCCAGCTGGTCCGAGCCTTTGGCACATCCCGCGCGGCTCTCCTTATTACGCATGACGTACGAACTTGTTTCAAAAATTCACATCCCGACGATCATTTATTACTACTTCTTGCTAGTATTACTTTTTTTGCAAAATGAACCCGAAACTCCATTATTGCATGGATTAAATGTTGTACACTCGTCAGGACAGAATAAACAAAGTCGATCACGTGTTTACGATAACATGTGAGGGCGATGTTGGGGGAAGTACCGCATTACATAAGAGGTCAGTAGTCTACATTTCTGTTGTGAGAAGAGGCGCTTCTTTGTAGTTGCTTCGTTGAACTCTGGTAGTTCTATATTATTGCGCATTCCGAATCTGTGGTTTTGAACAGTTAGAATTTACAGACTACTCTAACTAACATCATTTATGTTCGTTATCAACATAGATTTGTTAAGGTCGTGATATAGCATTGTCATCATGAAACAAGTTTGTAAAAGTAAAAAAATCCAATTACCAATAAAACTTCTTGATGCCAGTGTGGTCGTAATGATGAAAATATTTTTTCGGAACTATGTGCCAGTGTTGGATTTGTACACCCACATTGATAAAAATTTGTTATCGGAAATAAGACGAGGCTTCGTAGTGATGCACGCCACATCTCGCCATTTTATATTCTGAGAATTTACTGCTACTTATTCAAAATACTCTAATGTATATACTGCAAGGTGTGCATATACTGCAATATATTTACTGCAAAGTGCATGGGCTTCCTTCCCAAGTGACAAAGACAGGACAAGGATATGGATGCCATTTGCTGCAACATGGAAAGTTCCCTGGATTGCCTACCAAAAAAAGGTATGGCTATTTTTACATCCAAAATTCAGATTTTTTAATTTATAAAAGATTCTTCCCTTTACAATAAGTCACAAACAATGTTTAGTTTATAAAGTGTGGCAGAAATGAGTAACAAAACAGTTTTAAAAAGTGTCTTTAAGGCACAAATAGTGCAAAGAAAAATTAAACAAATGGTTCAAAAATTTTGTGACACAAATGAGAGACATGTTTAATATCACAGTGTGATTTAGAGGAAATAATTATATATTTATCCTCATAAATGGGATCATTCCATGTAACAATTGGAGAAAGGTAACTAATTAAGAAAGATGGTATTTATTTATTTAGCAATTAATGTCTACAAAAGGTACAAATTATTATTCATTCAGTGATTTTCAGAACAATTAATTTTAAGTTCTAGGCTGCATTGAAACAATATGATATATTGTCTAATTTGAGTGAATCATACATCAAGCTCTCCAAAGCAATGTAGAATTGGTCATTTAATTAAAAATCTTTGCACATGTGTGATTACATTTAGACACATAGTGAAAAAAACTGATCAATTTTGCTGTTCAATACTGTGGAGTTGGTGTAGACAGCTCCATTTTTAAGATGTTTGTGTCAGTATCACTTTATACTAAAATGAAAAATACTTTTGCTTTGTTCAGAAAATAACTAAAGCATAAAGTTTTCATATGAAGTACATTTAAAATCGATATTTTAAGAACAAAACTCTTTTATTTCTTTTTAATAGAAACACAACTTATTAAAATTAACCCAGAAAACACACTTTCCTGTATTACACAATGACCACAGAACACATATTGGCCAAACTTAGCTGGCTAAATGAAAACTGTGTGGCCAAAATCTAAGAAATAATTTTGACTGATTGTGTATGTTACCTGTAGAAGATCTACATTTGCTATTATTCAGTTAATAAGTATGAGACATTTGTGTTACTATGGAGGAAAAGGAATTAGTAATACTTCTGGCACCTGTGGAGAGGCAAAGTTTGCCAAATACCTTTTATCTTGAGGCAAAATAGATCTGACCAAAAAATCAGAAATTGAACAGGATATTGCAAAAGTTTTCTGAGAAAATGCATTCAATAATTTAATTAAATAAAAAACAATCAAGCTCAAAATGCCATAATTCATAAAATCTTTAATGTAAGAATTTTGGTTAAAATTTATCAATTATGGAGAATTCAGTAATTTTTTGAGAAAAACTCATTGAGCTTCTCACATTTTTTGTACCATTATTTGACAAAAGATTTGTAAGGTAAGGTCATTATGAAGTTAACATATTCGTTTCGTAAGCATGAAGAGGTAAATGAAATATTAATATTCAGATTTTAAAACCATTGAAGAGTATTGCAAAGGATTTTTTTTGATTAAAATTTCCTAAATTTTTGAAAGTAAGTCATAGTACAACTTCAAATATTATGAATTTCTTTTTCTAGTATTTTTTTTATGTTTGTTCTTCTCTGGTCATCTTTATCATCTTCATCATAAAAACTGCATTTCAATTCAAGTAGGAGTAAATATTTTTCAAGAAATGTTCTTTTCTGTTTCATCATTATATTAGGTTTGTTTGGCTACAATAAGAATTGGTTGAAGATAGATTTTGATGTATTAATAGATGACTTTACTACTTGTTAATCTTGATTTATAGATTTTTGGTTACTTTTTATTTCATTTTATTATTTAATGATTGTTTTTATATCAAAGAAATTTAGTTTCTTATTAATACTTTATTATGGTTAAACTTTTCTTGTTCCTTTCCACTGTGTTAAAACAAAGAAAAGATAGTTCAAAACAAACTTTGATTCATTCCAAAATTTCATTGCATATTTGTCAAAATATTAGTTTGACATCGTAATTAAATGGTGGAAACATATTCATATGAAAAATTAAAATTAAAAGGTGCTATGACCAAGTTGACTTCCTTTGCTTGTGGAGTTTCAAATTGAAAGTGAGTTTCTGGACTTCACAATCACAATTGAGATAAAATCAATGCAGTATTACTGGTGCAAAAAACAGGTATGTTCCCACTCTTCAGCATATGTATAAGAAATGAGCTGAATTAAAATTCAGCCTCGGCTTATAATTACATATTTGATGATACCCAGAGAAAAGTACTAAAACAATGCGGATGCTGTAAGGCTGGAATGGACAATGTCAATGGCCATGGTACAAACTACTCATATAACCTATTCTGTCTGTGTACAATTGCATTTTCTGAACTGATTATACTTCAAACAGCGGTAAAGGGCCATATTGACACCAAGGATAGGATGTATTGAAATTCGAAGTTTTGTCCAAACTAGTAGTAGAAATACATAGATTGCATGCAAGAATACTCAAAGCAGTTGGCCTTGGAAACCTTCCTCTAACGCGGATCTGGGGACTTTTCAAGCAGGTACACCCTCCTGGCGGTCCCCTGATACGCCTGGGATGTGACTCACTTTTTCCGTCAGATCTGTTCGGGAATAAATGAGATCTCATTAGGGTGGGATATTATCGGAATGATTTAATTTTGCCGGGCATCCGCCAGGATATTTTTACATGCCACAAAAGTGACATGGCTACTCTGCATTTTCCGCCATTCGAAAATTTACGCACCTCGACCGGGCTCGAACCCACGCTCTGGGTATTCAGAGGCCAGAAAGCTAACCCCTCACACACCGATGTGCGTCTGTCCCAACTAGAGCAACATTTTTTCCCAACTAGAAAATATTTTTCTTACACGTCTAAAAGGCTTCTTAAACATCTTAGTGAATTTTCTGCAACTGATTTTCACCTTTTTGGCACATTTTTTACAGACCTCTTTGAACACTTCTTGCAGAAATCGCTGGTTGCCTTTGTCGAAGCCGATCTGTCACATCTTTCGCTTTTGGGAGGACCCTGGTACTACAGTGATGTGGATTGTAGATAATTCTTGCATTGCCGCCATGACCGCCAACCCAGTGGCGTGTGGTGAAGGGCTTAGTTTGGGTAAGCAATAAAATATACACGACCAGTAAGCCATTCATTAGTTTCAAAAGGTTGGCTATTGAATTTCCTTGCACAGGTTTTCGAAGTAATAATGTCCGGCGTTGGCCATCCTACTTTAATAATGTTTCTCTTATCTTCAAAGTTCCGCGAAACAAAATTATTCACCAAACACGCACGTCTGCAGATCCGTCTGCGCCGCTGCCTGCAGTAGAAAGATCCATGTGCGTGTTCTTCCTGACGAAACACTAGCGGACGCAACCGAAGAGTATATCTTAGCGATTGCAAACTCTACGGTATAACTCTCGTGGTAGTTTCACTTATGACGATCAAATAAAATCGAATTATCACGTATATACAGAAACATATACTACGCTTAGAATTACGCATTTCAGTTCCCATACGCCTTTATGCATTTATCATTAAAAGTCGAGTTGCGAGGTCCCGCAACTCAGCCAGGCTCCTACGAAATGCAAGGATCGCTCCCGATCGCAACCCGAGCTTCCTCACGTCCAGCACACATCGATGCTTCGCAAGCGCGGGCATTTCATAACCGCTAGTTTAAAACGAGACGGTGCTTTCGATGTTATAAATTACTATTTATTTTCTTGTATAAATACAGATTTTTCTTAGTTACAAGGTATGCAGTGCGTACATGAAGAATATGTCACTGATATTACCGAAAATAAGCATCGGTCATCTCCACGCTAGTTTGATGCTAAGTTTTCGATGTAATTGGTCTACCACGTCTACCCTTATTGTCTACCCCCCTTACCACCCTTTGGCACTATAGAACATCACAGCTTCAGCCGTCCTTTTCCTGTCAACTACTTCGCGACATGTGCCGAGGGACATGACGTCCGTTTTCTTCTTGACTTATATACTGTCAATAAGCAATTCGTGTTGCGTTGAGTGTGTTGTGTAATACGACGAATGATTTTCAGCATTTCGTTTCAACTCATCAGGGACTTAACGACAAATCGGGTTGATTGTTTCCACAACTGGCGTTTCCTTTTCTTCAAGCTTTTTGGCGAGTTCAAGAGACGTGAAAAAATTGTCAGTTGTCTCTTTTCTCTCTTGGTTTACAAATGGCTTCAAAGAACGTGGAAGAATAAATTCACCCAGTGGTTGTTTATTGGGTCGATCATTCTCTTTATCAGACTGATGTGGGAAAAGAACGGCACTGCTGGAAAGGCACTGCTGATGTACTTCGTTGTTACATCAGCTGGGACCGGGACTTCTGTCCATATTTGTCGGGTTTGATTGGCATAAACTGCACCTACTTTTGCTTGGAAGACATTTGCTCAATTGTTATATTTTCTCCTGGGTGACAGCAACGAATGCAGTTTTTTACAAATCTCTCACATTTGTGACAGATTATTTTCAAAGATTCTCAAACACCGCTCCAAATTGTTTTCTTCAATTGTTTTCCACGAATAGAACTGAAGAATGGAGCACGTCTCATTTTCCTTGAGCTCTGTCTTTTCGAAAATTACAGATTTAAAAAGAATGCGTTAAAGTGCAAGCTGTTGTAGCACCACTAGTTTATATATTAAGATTTTCTGTAATGTGTCGTACATTTCAGTAATGGTGTAATCATTATATCCATTGGGTAATGATTCACTAATTGTGACGATATTCCATTACGTAAAAGCGCTCGTCCTAGCGCCTCACACCCCAAAATAGTTACCATTGTGCCCTGTAAGAAATCGCTAGGAGCCCATTCCTGCCCCTCGTTAGTCTCGCGCCGAGGAGAGCCTTTTTTCGAGGGGGCGGGCGTTAAACTACTCGCACCCGCCATCCAGCCGCCCCCTCCCACTTCCCAAAAAGGACAATGTTACTCTCGCTAAACAAAGATGGACAAAAAGAAAAAGCACCCGAACAGTAATTGACAGTAATTCCTCTGAGCTCTGCACTTCGAAAAAAATTGTCATATTGCAAGTGTGCAACCCGACTAACGCCTGCGCAGAAATGAGCAAAAGCAGAATCAAAACCCAATGATGAGACGAGACGATCTGGTGTCGA